TGTGGCTCCCTAAGCCTGGGGGAAAATCTATGAGGCCGATAAGCTTGTTGCCGGTCCTAGGCAAAGTCCTGGATAAGTGGTGCGCTACTCGCCTAACTTATTTTATGGAGAAAGGGGGTCATCTTTCTGACAAACAGTACGGCTTTCGTGAAGGTAGATCCACCATAACTGCTATACAGAAGTTGATGGATATAGTCAAGACAAACAAGGACAAGGGGCTTCACTCTGCGGTAGTCACCTTGGACTTAAAGAACGCCTTTAATATGGCTTGGCATGCGGCAATAATCAATAGGTTGGGAGAGATAGGGACCCCACGAAACATCTACGCCACGACGGTTAGCTTCCTTCTGAATCGCACAATTGTGGCAGATTCAGGAGCTGTCACATTGTCCCGTGGCTGCCCGCAAGGATCATGCCTTGGGCCGATTCTGTGGGTGGCAATGATGGAGTCATGGCTCCGTGCCATGAGTGGGCTGGAGTGTGCGCCGGCATCGGTCGAGGCCGTGGCATTTGCTGACGACCAAGTCCTGGTGTTGGCGGGCACTTCGGCGAAACGTATAGAGGCTGGCTGGCTTAAGACCTGGGGAGAGTGTGAGGGTTGGGCAAAGCTTAACCATTGTGAATACAATACGCTTAAAACGGAATACATGTTCTGCCCGGTGGGTAGTGCTATACGTCCGCCTGAGCTTTTAGTATCGGGCGGCAAGATAAAGCCTACGCAAAACATTAAATACCTAGGGATCTTGTTAGACCCAAAGTTCTACTTCATAGACCACGCCAAGATGATAAAGGACACAGCGGCTAAGGTGTCTAGTCGACTGTTTCACATTGCCGGTGAAAATTGGGGAGCGTCTCAAAATAATATTAAAACTATGTACCTCCATGCCCTCCGACCTGCAATCCTGTACGGAGCGGAGATATGGGGCAGCAGAAGCCTCGACTCGAGGGTCCAACGGATCTCCGAGAATATACAAAGGTCCTGTTAAGGATACTGGGGCATATAATACCACCCCCACTAGAAGCTTGGAGGTACTCTCTAATATTCCGCCTCTTTTCCTCGAGGCTAAACGAATCTTCGACGTATACGCCGCGACGTCGGAGGCTAACGTTGAGAGAGCCCCCCTCCCCAAAGACAAACTTCACCCTGCTCACAGGTGTCAGTGGGTAGATAATATTACAAACAGTACACAATACATTTACGTTGACGGGTCTAAGACAGTGGAAGCCACCAGGGCAGCAATGGTTGCGTACTCAGGTACGCACACCACCGAATCCAGGGTCGTTAAGCTTCCTGAATACTCCACAACTTACCAGGCCGAAGTAGCGGCTATCAATCTTGCACTAGAGTACATTCAAAACAACCCTCGAGACAGCGCAATAGTCAGCGACTCTCAGAGCGCTGTAAACGCCGTCAATGTATTCAAAGCCGGAACGGGCCAGATAAACGTAGTGCACAAATGCCTCACAGACCTATGGGACTCCGGCACCAAAGTGTGCATAAAATGGGAGAGCAAAGATACGCGGTCAGAGGGAAGCAAAGCCGCGGACAGGGCGGCGCGAACCGGCAATGCCAATACCGAGATTGCAACACAAATACCGAAATCTTACCTAAAGAAGAAAGCGCGGAACGATATGTTAGCTCAGTGGCAAAAGGTTTGGGATGAGACGACAAAGGGGCGTTTTACACACGCGATTGTACCGCAGGTACCTCAAACCACCACATGGTGGAGTAGGGAGACGATATGGGCGATTACAGGGCACGGCCCATACAGCCATTACTTTAATAAATTCAGGCTCAAAAGACACAACGTACGATGTGCATGCGGAGAGGAATCTTCCCCCGAGCACACATTCTACCATTGCCCCTACCCACAGCGTACCAATGCGAGACAGATAGCCCAAGGGAAGTTACAACTCTCCCAGCTAGAGCTGACAACGCTAAACCTAGGTGAAATTAAACACCCTGAGGTTATAATAACACTAGAAGCGTTCTTTAAGGAGCTTATAGTTCCAACGGAGGACGAAGACGATTAGGTAAGGTTTATTTCAAAATCTGTATCCCCCCCCCCGAAACAAGGTGTCTCCCAAAATTGTACATATACGGTCCCTTTACAACCTTTTTAACATGTATGTGTTGTCCTGCTTTTATAATATGATTTTATATTTTGAAATTTTAACTTGTGTACTAAAATATTTTATGTTTCAGCTTAAATTGCACCATATTACAAATTATAGCTCACACAAAGAATATAGGTCTTACACTACATTGGCGAAAAGACATAAAGAGCATATGATATTTATAAAAGAAATAACGTATCCAAGCCTAGACGGGATAAGTGACAATATACACACGGAAACTGCATTACACTCCTCCAACGAAATACCTTATCCCGATTAACAATTTTGCAGTAACAACCAATCCTTGGAAGTTGTTCTAAAAGAGGGATTTCCCCCGCTGATTTTGGTGCTGGCGGTCGGTTGGATGTGGGTTCCCTTGACCGTGGTTTCCTAGCGAGGGGGTGGTGGTGCCTTAAGCCCGAAAGGGTAGGAGGGCGGAGATTTATCTCCATGATTTAACTGTATAATAATATTATACATAAATTGAAACATTGTATTTTATAATTTGTAACGTGGTTAAGGACATAGAATAAATCAAAAGAGACAAAACAAACTAAAAAAAGGAAACTAATAGCCCTAACCACGGCTGCGGCTGCTTACGGAGAGATTATGGTACGTTTGTGTAAGATTATTTTAGGCGCTACTAACTTTTATTTTCCTGTTAGGACAAAACGCAACCAATAACACATTTCTTAGACAATTCTTAAAAAATGCGTTACAAGAAAACAGACCGGGTCTGCGGGAGTGTTTGTCTTATTTTCTCCTTAGCTTCCTCGCCCACAAGAAGGCTATTTTTTAATTTTTGGGCACGGCTCCCTAACAGGGAAATAAAAGTTGGTAGCGCCTGAAAGATAATCACACACAGTCATACCTACAGTCTCTCCGTGAGCAGCCGCAGCCGTGGTTAGGGCTATTAGTTTCCTTTTTTTGGTTTGTTTTGTCTATTTTGATTTATTATACATATGTCCTTAACGCACGTTACAAATTATAAAATACAATGTTTCATGTATAATATTATTATACAGTATGTGATACCATTTTACTCATGTATTCTCTTTCAATCATATTTTTCTCCAATAATATGACATCAGCATGCATGGAAATGAGTACGTCATCAGTTTATGGCGCAAAAAAAAAGGAAACCACTTGCTATCTGACACGACAACGTGGAAAAATGTATTAGCTGGGTCATCAAAATTGAAAGTCGCCGAGCGCGCTAACACTACGCTACACTTTGGACGCCCAGCTAACAGGTTTTGCCACATTTAAATATCAGCTGACAGTTATTTATGCTCTTTTTACATTGTACACTATTATATATACCATTTTCAGCTTTGCGAAAATGGTCCGAAAAACAATTTTTTTTACATCTTTCGCAGTCTCTCGCCATCTTAAGCCACGCTTTTGAACCAGCTGAATGGATAAAAAATCTATAGTAGAAAGATGAACTTTGCGAAAATGGTCCGGTCAAATAGGACGCTACCACCCGTACTATTACAGTATGAAATAAAATACGTTACGATATACGTCCGGTAGTACTTGTAACAGTACTCGTTTAAGACATTCTTGACTCGGCTCCTGACGTCGCCTCGTCCGTAATGTCTAACTCGTACTGTTACAAGTAACCTACCGGACTTATAACGTAAATAACTATTGTGTGCTGTCAATTCGATCGGAAAGTTTATCCAGATTTCAGTGAGTTTTTTGCGAAATGTCGATGTTATTTCACCGCATTCACGCCTTTTATATTAAAAGTTTGCTATAGGTACCTACCCAATATTCATTTTTGGTAAGTGTTCATAAACTAAACACGTGGTATACATAGTTATACAGAAACACTAGGGAGTTAATTTCTATTTTAGGTTGAATTTTAGTTTTTTCAAGATGCTACTAATTAGACGTACCAACATGGTAGGTACCAACTTAGGTCGCAGAATTCGTAATCCTACAAGTCAAACATACCGGGTGGTGCACGGTAAGTAGGAACATTGGGATTTAACATGGGAAATTAGTTTTATGCAATATTCTGCCCTCCTGTACATTTTACAAAACTGTAGAGTTAAAAGGTGCATACAAAACTGTTTTTACATGTTTGTTAAGCTTTTGGTATACCCGCAAATTTAAAAATAAATGTCATCATTTCTGTTACTAGTATAGCAATTCATAAAACAACAAAAGTCATGGCTATTGCTACTAATAACAGAAATGTTGACATTTATTTTTAAATTTACGGGTATACCAAAAGCTTAATAAACATGAAAAAACAGTTTTGTATGCACCTTTTAATTCTGAAGAACTTTAAACTCTACAGTTTTTTCTGTAAAATGTACAGGAGAGCAGAATATTGCATAAAACTAATTTCCCATGTTAAATCCCAATGTTGCTACTTACCGTGCACCACCTGGTATATACGAGTAAGTCAAACTGACGAGTAAAGCGAAGCGGGAAACGAAGTTAACGAAATCGATATGAACAACGCAGAAATGTACCCTTTAAACCCTATCGAGCTGCATTTAATTACAACGTAGCAATCAATTACAGTGTACAGTAAATCGTTGCTATTAGAGCAATGAACTTTGTATGTCCACATTGCAAGGCTTTTAAGTTTAAAACTGAAGCCCCGGAATTATGTTGCGCCAGTGGCCAAGCGAAATTGACGCCATTGGTACCGCCACCAGAGCCACTACATTCCTTGGTTTCCGGAAATGGGCCAGATTCTATACATTTTTTACTCATATTGGGGGATATTCAGAAATAAAACAATTGTTTTCAAATTACGGCATTTGGCGCAGCAAAAAAAAGGTACGTTGCTAGCTCTGAATCGCCAAAAGCAACGTAGAAGTGAGTGCGTTTATTTTTTTATTATTTTGGGGAGAGATGGGGAGATTTTTGGGCAAGTGTGTCAAAATTTCTTTTCCGGCTAAACGGTTGAACCGTTTGGAACCAAATTTGCTACACATATTCTTTGACATAAAAGGGCAGACTCGCGCAGGGGGAGGGGGGTAGTACCTGCTCTAGGCATAGCGAATTTCTCGAAATAATTTTTTGTTATTATTTATTCTAGTTCAAATTGATTAGGTATGCATAGCTAGGAAAGAGGACAACGTCCGTCGGGTCAGCTAGTTTACTTATAAAACGTCAGATTCTTTTAGCTCAAGAAATGGATGGAACAATAATCCTTCTTGCTATCAATTCAAGCACTCGTATAAAAAACTGCTAATTCCTGCTCAAGTACAAGGGAATTGGAGGAAACTGTGATGTGTTGGACATGGCCACAATACTCCACATTAACAAAAACAAAAGTCAGGATGATCCTAATGTATGTGTTGATGTGTCTGTAATGCGGAAGTATGGTTTGGAATGATTATAATTTGTCTTACTCTCCCAATCTAAATGATTTCGTCGAAAATGTGGTCACTTACATCGCTGGTTATGTCGTAAAAATGGTGAAAACAAGACTTGAATTCATTGTGAAATGTGTTTCGAAGCGTGTCAAGATGTTCATATGAGTACTGATGTTCTTTAAGAGAAGAAATAAAGGTATTGCATATTGCAGGGTATATTTATGAATATCGTACAATTTGAATTGTAGGAGGTTTGCTGCGTCCTTAAAAAGGAGTCATAATATTGTGCCAAAAAACGGAGACTTATGTTCGTAAAATGATGAACGTCACAGGAAATAAGCTACCTACAAAATGCGACAATGTTCAGTCCACAGTAGGGAACTTAATTGCACAACAATATTACGATAACATAGGTAATTTATTTCCAAGTTTGGAATCTCACATTACTCAAGCAGAGATGGAGAGTAATCATGTATTTCACTTGCTCAAAACAATTTATTGTTGATTAAAACAATGACGCTAAGAGAAAAGTTTAATAAAAATTACACAACTGAAAAATATATCTACTTGTACATAACACGAAAGCTGGCATGGAAGTGAAGTACATTAACAGGAAGTTGCAGTGCCAACTTAAAATAAGCATAACAAAGGTTACCAACACAAGAATATTTTGTATTTTCAACACAATTGTATATTGTTACTTAAGAATTCGTTTATTCAATTTAGCAAAAACGTATACTGAAGAAATAACTGGCGAAAAAATTAGGCATAAATTGACAAAACTTGTCTTATTTAATAACCAATAAATATTCATGTGTATAATATTACTGCCCAATTTATGATGTTAATAAGTTATACCTTTCATTGTAATAATGGACAATGTGAATGTTTGGTGATATAAAGGTTTACATCAATAAGAAAATTTAATCTTTCTACGTGTTTAACCATCAACGTCCTGACGGTTTCGCATAGAAAAGAAAAACAAGATTTGAAGTGTGTTCTAATAATGAATTATTGTACCGTATAATAAAACACAATTTCATTCTTCCGATTTCTTTTTTTCCAACCACAACAAGTTTGCATATAACAAAGTACATTGAGCCTGCTCCATAACAGACTGTGTGCTGAAATTACGATGATTATAACGTCATTACTACAATTTGAATGTTATATAAGGAATTTAAATTGGCATTGTTGGTTGCCTACCTTAAAACTAGGAAAAGAAAGGACAACCCAACATGGCGGACACAGTCGTCCTGAAAGTTTGAATGTTATGCGCAGACCAGTCGTCAATATACGTTTACATAGATATGTGGTGGCACCTTCAAACGCCCAATATTGACAATTTCACTTCACACATACACTGAATCCAATGCCATCGTAAAGTGCGGCCGCAATACATCTACCCTGTAGCCACCAACATCCATCCTCTAGTCGCCAACCTACCCTCTACCTACCTGCACTGCGGCCTTAGCTTAAGGCATGGTGTTCGCGCGATCTGACCAGCGCTGAGGCTAAATTCTCACAGAGAGAGAGACAGAGTATACGTCCACGCCGCGGCGACGTTTACGGCGTGTATCGTTGAAATAATGGACATACGTAAAAAATATGCAGGTTTATTGCACCATAATGACTATTCTAACGTATAATAATGCTAAATAAGCTACAATTCGTAATTATCCTTACACGGACGCTACTCAATAAATAATCTTTGGGCGAATTGTTAATTTTTTAGCATTATTTACAAATGTAGTCAAATTATGGCACGTAACATACAGCAAATAAACAAAGAAATCATTATAACCCATAATAAATGCTTAAAACTGTATACCTGCTCTATAAATAACATATAGTCAATTTTGTCGTATTCTACAATGAACTTGTATTAAGAACTACATTAATCTCGACATTAATTCACTTGCAGTTTAGATTCTTTGCGTGTTATAGCTGTCAGCTTCCGTATCTTATGTTGTTTTCCTTCATACAATTGTTTAATTCGCATTACTACATAAAAAATGAACAGCTTTTGCCAAAATACCACTTTTATGCGAATTGCAAAGAAACAAAAAATTCTAAATGGGCTTGAAAAAGTTCATGTAACGTTTTTTCGTAAGCTGAAACGTTACATGCATTTACTCTAGTACCTACTTATTAAATTAAAGTAACATGATAAAAAAGATAAAAGGTCAACGAAGGGGGTATTTAGCTTATTCTGAAGTACCCGCCGTGCGGACATTTACTGCATCTCTCTTCGCACCTCTCACTCTAATTCTGTGTGTCGAGCGTCACTATAAAGTTTTATTATTGAATCTAGCAGCCGCGCGACCACCTGTCTACTATACACCATGCTGTAAGGTAGGTAATTTTTGTAATTTTCACACATCCCATGTACAGGGTACGGCACTGGAATGTGACACATTTTAATGCGCCACTGCCTGATACATGAATGGGTGGGGGAGTTCTGTTTATGACTGATGTGTTTGTTATTATATGCAGTTTAGTAGCTATGGAGGATTGGCCCGTAAATCAACGCGTGTTCGCCGCGACGGCATACATTGAAATAGTTATTTATATAACAAGAGCGCGAAGTTCAATTTCGCGCATTGAGACTGAAGGTATTTTGACGAGGCGAAGCCGAGTTAAAATATCAGTCAAATGCGTGAAATAACTTCGCGATAGCGTTATGTACAATATTTTTTCTACAACTGAACCGATTGTTAATTAAATTTGCTGTTTAAGTTCAACTTTGTCACTTGCGCGAAATACTTTTTTCACTGTTGAAGATTTCGCGCACGTTGTCAAGAGCAATACTAATTAACCGTTTAAAAATTTTGTACTTCGCGTTTCGAAATTCGTCAGATAAAGACAGGTTTTTTTGACAGTTGTAGAAAAAGGTTATTACGGTCCAAAGACGATTTTGGGCTGAGTTTAATATCCCAAGACGTGGTCGCATTCCATCGTGGAACATTATTTTGCCATAGTTTAAGAAGTGGAATGCGTATGGAACTGTCTGAGATAGGTTTCCTGGTTCTACCCGTACTGTGCGAACGCCTGACCTCGAGGCGAAGTTATGAACTACGTCCGAGAAAATATTGAACAATGTATAGGGTTTAGTGGTGGACATTTACAATCTGTAATTTAAAAAAAATAATAAACTGTTAAAAATTGCATTCAATGAGTATTATTTTTAAGATTTTTACTTCTTTTTACAACAAAATTTCTAATCACTACAGTGTAGCGAAAAAAGTCACATTTCACTGCCGCAACCTTTATTATAGGTATTAAAAAGATGCAAACATTGCAATTGCATAAATTATTCATGCTGTGAGAATTTAAAAAATAAGTTTAATAAATAATCGCAATTCTTAGGACTCCAGTCCTTTTGGAAGTGAATCTGAATCTACCAATTCCGAAAGTACCTAATGTTATAGCTTTTTTGTTAGTGGGAATTAAAAAGAAACTATGATAATTTTGTTAGTAATGCTGCCACAAATCCACCACCCAATTATAGTTAATAATAGCAAACATTTTGATTAAATTTCTACGATGATTTCTTAGACACCGTCGAATCCAAAATTTCAATTCGATCCGATAAATATTTCTGTAGCCACCACCACACCAATTCGTAATGTAGGTGGATGAAATTTTAAAAAAGCGTCTCACTGTGAAGGAGTCGACAGAATAAAGAATCGCCTGTAAAAAAATCATGCTGCTATTTACTGATTTTTCAATAAATGATTTGAAACTCGCAAATTTGACAAAATCTCGACTAAAATTTGGTACTAATGTGGTTAAATCGACCCTGAGTCACATTTATGACATGGTGTCGATTTACACTTACATACTTAATAATAACTATAACTATACAAATATGTATATGTATACAAAGAAAAAATATCCGTCGACAATTTACTGGTGTTTAAAAATTTAAGTTTGTCTCTGTTTTTTTTTTCTTTTCCCAGGAACAATGTCTTACATTTGTTAAATATTTTTACAGTTACTAGTAAATTAATTAAGTACATCATATGTGTTAATTATTTACAATAATTTTATTTTATTTGATTTACCTATCAAACCTTTCCTATGCATGCGCATTGCTTAATCAATTTTTATCACAAGCAGAGTTTTGACACACGCGTTTTGGGGAATTTTTAGTATGTATTACGGATGAGAAAGTAAGGATTTTAATTTCAATTTTCATATGCCACTCTATTGGCACGTTAGAGAGTGTGGTTCAGTTTGTGTACCTAATCTTTAAATCATCTCCTTCATAAAATAGAAAATTAAAACGTGTTTTGGTGCAGCAACAGGCGAGGTACCTATTTTCCCAATTTGTACTATTACCCTCCCTGAGTATATCCTGTCAATCAGCCTCAACTACAAAACAGCAACAAAACAGGTGAGTACTTCTCATTTTAATTACAGTCCACATAAAGAAAAGAATTAACAATATGCTTGCCACATTCAGATTCGTCTACATTGTAAGATCGTTTGTTTAAAGCATTTACAATCGCCTTCGTCAAACGCTCTTTTAGTTTACTTTTACACGTAACACTATTAAATTTATCATTGAGAACAGTTAAAGCTTTTGAGCAAACTGTCATCAGCAGATTGGTTGGTGCTCTTAAACCAATTGATTCAGGCAATTTATTTTCAAATGTTTTATACACTATAAGTAACTCACGTTTATCAGATAAACGACTGTCAGTCACACATTTTAGCAATAGTTTTTCACAATTTGCACAGTTAAATTTATCAATTAGATTTTTGCCTAAATACCCAGCAAAAAAATGCTTCCGCATATTCTTGTAGGCCCGGACTATACATTGCGTTTAAGCGGGAAGCGTTTTAGCAGGACCCGTTTGGCGGGAATGCAGTTTGAGACTATACATTAGGGTGGAGTGAAAAAAACCAAAAAAATTTTTTTTTCAAATTTTGTAACTCCTGGGTTATCAAAAGTTGTCACTTGGCAATAGCTCACTAATAGATAAAAATTATAAATTTCTATTGAAGCTTTCAGGTGGCGCACTGAAGTTGAATTTTGAAAAAAAAACTAAATTTGCCAAAAAATCAAACACACATTACTAACCATATTTTTGAATATTTATTAATGAAAATGGTGCAAAATAAAAGAAAGTAGTACATATTTAAGTGTAGTATGGAAATTAACAACAAATTCGATTATTGAAGTATATAAAAACAGACGAAATCTCATACAAAAAATTGCGATTTTGTGTCGAATTTTGGTACTTCTGTTCGTGATTTAATTCTTGCTCGAATGTATCCATCTCTCGCTTTGCTACCACACACTGCTGAACTAGCCTCTGTTACAAGTTTCACACCTCGTTCTACAGCTTGTGAGTGGCAAGGGAATTCCTCGACTGTAACTTTGAAGTTGGCACTAGTAATTTTCTGCAATATTTCGCTGTCAGTATATTTTTGTGTAATAGGCGGCTCGTAGATTTTTTCCGTGGTCCAATCTATTAGGTCGTAGTATTCATTTGCTTCAAAATTCAATTTCGGGGTAATAAACTCTCTTACCTTCTTTCCTTTGTTGGTCTTTCTAGCTTTCATTATTCTTCTTAGAGCTAATTCTTGGATGTGGCCTCTTTCATCCTGAAGCATAGCCAATAAAACATTTTCGGAGTGAGCAAAGAAAGAGTTTCGCTGTATGGTTCGAAAAACAATCGCTTTCTTGTCATCTTCTAAATAAGCACACCTCTTTATCATATTAAGTATATGTTGTGGACCATATCTGCAAGAAGGCATCAGTTTTATGTCGAACCACGTCGGTGCGTACACTTTTATCACGAACTCGGCGAGCTCAACTAGACTCTGAGACGGTTTGGCGGTTCCCACATATAATCTTAAGATCCTATTTGCACAAGTAAGCCAGCGACTGTGCGCCAATTTGCCTGGCTGCTTATTAGCCAGGTCAGGAGGAATAAGACCTTGTGTAATTGAAATACACACTTCGTAGAGGTATTTTTGATCATTACTCAGAAGGTTCACATCTATGTCAGGTAAATTCGCTTCAATTTTGCTAAATGTCACCACATGTAACCCCTCACAACTCTGTAACTGTTTACCAATCGTTCCTATGAAGCTATTAGGGCCAGAAGTACTTCCATCTAAATTAATAAACAAATGACGCAGTGGTAACTCGTTTGCGTGTAACATACACACAAACCAGTGTAATAGGCGATGCAATTGTTTCTCTATTAGAGCAACTACTCCATTTTTTGAACCGGTGTTAACTGCTGTCCCATCACATCCAATGGCGACGAGGGATGATACATCTTTGAAGTGCAAATTCAGGAATTGCAATATACCACCCTTGATAGAAGAAGCTGTTCCAGAAATGGGCGTGACATGCCCTATATAGCGAGATCCTGGCTCAGCGAGCAGTACTATGTGTTCTTCTGTGATTGTTTTTCTATAACGTTTGTTTCCACGCTCTTCCTGGATTATTGTTTTATCTTTTCGTCCATCAAAGTACAAACCAAGTAGCGGACTGTCGGGATTTTCTAATTTCTGCAGGTCCTCTCGCATTTTCTGGCGCTCACGTCGCAACTTACTTCTGTCTATTATTTTTGACTTGTCTTTCTGTGAAATAATATCTAAATCTTTTAAAAGTGCACTTGCAATGAGTGATCCTGACCTATCAGAGACACCTGCCCTATCGCAAACAGCGGCCAGATTTTTCAGACGCAGTCTCATTTGTTTATTTGTTTTATTTGTCGCGGATTCGCTGGTAGTTGGTGTTATTACACTGTGGTAAAAATCAGGATCGATTGAACTTTCTTCCATGTGTTCAGAATCACTCTCTGAAGAAGAAATGTTGGCTGATATAGCGTCCGATGAGAGACTAGGTTGTTTCATAACAGATTGTGATTGCCGCAATTCTTCAAATTCACGTCTCAATTGCTTACGCGCCATAACTTTCGTACTCTTAGCATCTATTGACCCTATATACATTTTCCGATCTCCTCTCTGATCAGTTAAAAACTCTCTTTCTGCTCGAGGTATTTTCGTAGAACATTTGCAGGAATCTAAACAGGCGCACTTACAGACTGATATGTCGAAGAGTGTTTTTCTCGCAGTTTCATAAAAGTCTGCCTTTTTTTGCGTTACTCGACATTTCATTAGGTTTTTGTATTTTTTGTAGTAATCTATTAGTCTTGAAATGATCTGTTGGTTAGAGATAATAGGAAGTGATGCTTTCTTCCACAGATTTGACAAATCAGTTGCTATTTTCGCACATATCTCTTTGATAGAAGGATCCTTTCCATTTGAAATCCACATCAAGTCACTTCTCACCCACAAATAATGTTTTATTACTTCCGCACAAGTAGGTAACATATTGTCTTTTAGTTTTTCTGGACCACCAAATACAGAACATGACAAATCTTTTCTTGTTTTAGGCATTATTTTAGAAGTAAATGTCGCGTTTTTTCACCGTTGTTTCGAGGGACGTGCTTTCACCTCCGGGTATCGATGCGAACTAAAATGAATGCTAAAGTGCAGTAAGATGTAAACACAGATAGGGGGGAGGGTCGCGGACCGCGGTAAATATAAAACTGAACCACTTCTAAGTGGCGCGAAAATTCAAATTTATTTGTAACTTTGGAGCTCGTGCGCCACCTGAAGATGATGTGCAAAATACTTAATATTCGGCGTGAGTAAGTAACTCACTTATAGGCAAGTTTTAGTAACCCAGGACTAATCAAATTTAAAAAAAATTTTTTTCACTCCACCCTACTATACATATTGCGGCAGAACGGCAACTGCGTCATTCGTGTTTGTTTTATTGGCAAAATGTTTTCGAAATTAAAAATTGTTTGTGCACTTGAAGCTGTTAATTTGCTTGAAGAGCCCCCAGATAAAAGAACAAGGCGATATTCTGTACATCCTTTTCATGCCGGACGTGAATCAAGTAAAAGATTTATAAAGTTTTATGAAGATATACGAAAATATGAAGAAACATTTTTCGGATATGATCGATCTCTATTAATTCTTTTGATTAGCTATTAAATGTCATCCGCCCGTACATAACTAAACAAGAAACGACATGGAAGAACCCGATATCTGCAGAGGAAAGACTGACAATTACACTCGGGTAAGAAAAATAATTTTTTTATAATTTATTGATAGGTAGCTGTATAATACGTAGTATCATTGAATAATTTATTCAATGGTAGTATGTATGTATCCTTGTGCATTAATAAAAATCAGGAGAATGGAGGGAACGTGAGGAAGGAGATGGTATGGGCGTTGAAGTTTGAGATTTTGGAGGAGCTAAGGTTTCGACGTAGGGATGACGATTCAGTGCAGGAAAATATTGTTGAGATTGCTGTATAGCGAAATGGGATTGGAATGGTCCTTGATATTCGGGATGTTGTGGGCTGTTGATGCATGTGTGGTTGGTTTCGTTTATTGTGGATATCGCGGAAGAACTAGCCGGAAATCCAACTTTTCGCCCGAATTAAGTTGACGGTAATGCGGCAGCAAAGACAGCAGATAACGCTCTGTCGGCTCCTTCTTCGACGCTCTGCGCTGTCTGTCAACGACGAAAGGAGATTCGTTTGGAACGCTGTCATAGCTGCCGGTGTTTTACGACCCTTGGCTGACGTTCCCGGTTTGGGTCGGTGTTGTTGGGGTGTCGCATCTTCTACATCCTGAGTATTTTCTTTGGAACTGTCGCCGTCTTCTTCGCTCTCGCCCTCCTTATCAGACACATAAGGCATGCTGCCCGAAATTTTGGAAAACAATTAAAATTTCTTTACTAGCGGGTCATTGTTCAAGAATACAAGCTACGAATTGCGGTGATACACAGCTACCTGTACCTGTACAGGAATTAGAACAAAATCGATCATTATAAACTGTTCAAAATTACCAACGAAAGTATTTTGGTTTACATACCTTCTTTTCTCGATACTTATTTTTCCTCCATTCAATAATGTCCGTCCAATAAATTATTTCGTAAGGACTTAAAAGGTGAGGCACATCGTACATGCAAAATATTTTTTCATTGTTACAAAAAAAGTATGGATTTTCTACTGTAACGTTGAAGCACTTTAAGAAACCCCTATTATTTGACCCTTGGTCACAAGTAACTACTTTTGGACGAAGTCCACATGCTTGCAGTTTCGAGACGCTCGTTGTGAGTAGAGTGCTTAACATTTCACGTTACACCTGTGCCTGTTAGAAAATAAGCGCAGGCCCCAAACCCCAATCCATCGCCGTACAGTTCATCCGGAAGGGAGGATAATGTTCTGTTTTATTAAAAATTTGTAGGCCGACGGAGATTTATAATGCAATGCAATTGCAAACTCTTGTTCATTTTGTTCCATGGAGAATTTTTGCGGTGTAATAATTGCATTTTTACTAAAGTTTCGGAGTGTTTAGATGCATAGGTTACATTTTTTAGAGCTTCATAGTACTTTTAATGGTTTAGATTTAGATTTAATATTTGCTTTCAACCTTGAAACCTCATCTTCTCCTGTTTTTGTGATAGTCTTAAATTTTATTATCGACGGTCATCATCAATTTTTGCTCGCGAATGGTAATATCTTCATCGGAAAATAATTTCCGTTTTGCACGTTTTGGATCCACCGCTGGTGACTCTAATAAGAAGGTTGCCCACTCTTCTGTATTGGACTGTCCATTTTAGGACATGTATACGTTGTGGATCATGTGTGTATGTAGTATCATGTGTTATGTTTAGGAATTTACTGTAATGGAATAAGAATATAAAATATTGATTTGCGCATGACGTGACAATTAATTATTAATTAACTGATTAAGTAAAGCGTTGTGTGCAGGCAGTAATAATCGTAAGGTAGTAGATATAGGTAGGTGTTAAGTTGTAAATAAAGTTTTAAGTCATCTTAAGAGTGGTTCTTTTTCTTAAATGTTCTCTCCACCAGAGGGAACATTACATTACGAACAATATGGCATGTATTGATAACGACTGCTTTTTGTGAATGTTTGTATGTTTTTTTATCTAAACCTAATAGTTGTAAATTGCGGTGTATTGTCTTTGGTATAACTCCGGTAGCACTAAGAATAATGGGAACTATAACAGTAGATTTCATTCTCCATTGCGTCTTAAGCTCGATAACTATATATCGGTGTATTTGCGGTGTTTATCTGCATGTGTTTTAGTTAAGTTGTTAGTGTTGGGTATGGCAATGTTTATAATCGATTTTTATGTTTTATCTGAGTAAAGTCGCCGAATGTGGAATGCCATTTTATTTTAATTAGACAAAAAATAGTAAATGGAAGATTTTTTTCTTTAGATTTTGGGGAGGGATAGTATAATGTGTTACTAACACAGGAAAAAAATTACAGAAACTTTAAACATTGGAAAGAAGTTTTAAATTAGGTAAATATTGAAAAAGTCACTTTTGAGGATGTTTGACATTGAGGCTGTAATGTGGAATACTAATATACCCTAATATGGAATATGAAAATTTTCTACATCTATAACAAGCAATGCTGTTTCTTTTATGAAAATAAAACAATAAAAATGTGCATGCAGGTTTATTTTAAAATTTAACGACAAAAGTCACACACATAGGGATCTTTCTCAATCCCACCACATTCTTCGTGGGCCCAACAAGAACAAACAATGCACTTTACCCAAATTTCTCCCCGATTATTTTCGGAGAACTTTTCGGAGCAGAATATGCACAAAGCGTCTTCGTCCGGGTTTGTTGCTTCCGGAAATTCTTCATCATCAGAAGAATTATGCAGAGAAATATTATCAGTCTGAACTTGATGAAGGTACAACAATCTTCCGACTTTTAAGGGAAGTTCTTTTCTTTTTTCCTGCCTTTAAACTTTTGCTGCAACATGGGCCATCGTTGAAAATTCTCTTTTTAATTGCATCCTTTTTTTCTTTTATCGAGTTGATGGACCTTCCCAATTCTTCTTTGTCTGGAGTCGATGTAATTATTTTAGCTTTTCCACTTTTCCTTCCTCGAGTCCCCTCCCCCCCCCCTTTCTTCTGTAAATTAGGCACCGCAACAATATCTTCTGGATTAACTAAGATATTTTCTTCCCTTGGTTGAGGGTGGTTATTCTGCCGATCTTCTGCAACTGGATCTTCATTGCTGTGCTGTTCAGCAGCTAAGAAATCTTCTTCCGTAAAAATATCCTTTCTTGTGGGGTATATGCCTGTAGCGGAGAATCCTTTTATCGCTCGTTTCTGCAGTTTGAACTTTTAGGTATGCTCTGCTAAAAAGTTCTCCAACATCAAAGTGGATAATGGCTCGGTGATTGGTTTTTAGGAAAATTCTGATTTCTTCGCTGTAAAAAGTCTTAAGGCCACCCATCACGGTTTTATCCAGAGGCTGGGGTTTGTGTGACGTGTGTGGGGGGAGGCATAAAATTGTAACAAAATTTTCTTTAGCTTTAACCACAACATCAAGATTTCGGACGTGCGTGCTGTGTCCGTCCAAAATAAGAAGTACAGGGTGGTCTTTAGACGGTCGAACGTTTTCAATAAAATGGTCAAACCAAGCCGTGAAAAGATCGAGTTGAATCCAACCGGATGGGTGAAATTTGAATAAAGTTCCAGGAGGAGCACCTTTTTTCAATTGTTCATTGGCATTTTTTCGAGGAAATATCATCATGGAGGATACGAAATTTCCGTCAGCGCTGATCACATGAGGGCATTTGGATTGAACAACAGAGAGGCTACACTCATCAACATTAAAAATTTGACTGGGCGAAAAATTATTCTCTTCCATAACCTTTTCGAGCAAACTAAAGAATTCGTCAACGCTTTCTTTATTAAATCCAACAGCCCTTGCAACTGATGTCCCCGTTGATTTTCTAACACTAATGTTCTCCTTGTATCTACGCAAAAATCGTTTTAACCAATTTTTTCCAGCTGATTGATGCAGTAAAGAAAACGGATTTGGAATGTTATTTTGCCTGGCTAGTTGAAATGCGATAGAACATAAATCTCTCCTAGTTAGTCCGAAAAACTTTTTTTCCATTATTAGAATATAGTCAACAAGTTTTGTTTCCAAGCTTCGGATAAAACAGGTTTTCTTCCTAAACGTTCCTTTTTGATATCATGATCATCTCTGTTCTTTTTGCAGTATCTGAACAAAGTACATCGTGGTACGCTGTAATTTTTAGATGCTGCTAAATATCCTATCCTTCCGTTTCTAACGGCGTTTACCGCCATTCTCATATTATCTTCTGTCCACTTATGCTCCTTTACATTTTTCTTACCCATGTCTGTGTAATAAGAAACGTAAATGAGCACAGGAGTTATACTAGACATCGTAATCGGAAATAGGAGTGCAATTTTGAATATTCCACATATAAACCTCTACCAGTATTCCACAATACCGGCAAATTAATATTTGTTTACAAAGTGTTGTTACAAAATAAAAACATATTTTTCGTTTAAAATACACTACATTCTAGACGCATACAGCTCTTTTCTTACTACTCGCATGAAAACTTACCTTTGATACTCGAAAAAACAGCCAGTACAAAAATATTCACACTCACTACAAAAACTTCGTTGGGCGAGATAAGCGCGTTTTGAAGTATTTTCTAGGTTATGCGAAACCGCCGTGGTACGGACCAAGACCAAACGAAATTGCAGTTAAAAGGACATCTAATGCATGTTCACGAATTAAGTTGTCACTGCCGGTTTCGCATGAAAGGAGGTATTCCACATTCGGCGACTTTACCCTAAGTGTAATGTCTGGTCTTTGTGGATAGTTTTGTCTGTGAGTAATGTCCTGTCCCAATAAAATTTGTGTGTGTGTGTGTGTGTGTGTGTGTGTTGTTTTCAATGATGATCTGTGGCGTGTATTTGTAGTATGGTGTCTTATCTATTATGAGATTATGTTTAAGAGCTAATTTTTGATGTATGATTTTAGCTACCTGATCGTGTCGATGTTTGTATTCAGTTTGTGCAAGTCGTGTGCATGCCGATATTATATGTTGGATTGTTTCTGATGTTTGTGAACAAAGTCGACAAGAATCATTTGTCACTGTT